AAAAAGCTGAGGAGGAAATCCAGACCCAGTTTCCTTAGTGGAAAATCTTGTTGTGTCTTATGTCTCTAGCCAAAGGGTTGCTGCCAATGAAGAATCGAGTTCATAGAGGTATCATGTGGATTCATATTGGGGCTTCTTTATTGTTGATAGAAGGGTGAGAGGACAGTTGTGAAGAGTCCACAATAGTTTCTCGACGAAAACAGGCGGGAGATGCTTTGTTTGCATGAAACTGAATACAATCAGAGTAATGTGGCTTACGGTCCCTGCAGCACGCTTTCACCTAGCGTGTTAGCGCATGCACAAACACCTGCATGTTTTATCATACTAAGGGATGTTTGGTTACTCACATCAATTTCGCGTTGAAAAACAACATTTAGGTCATGTTCTCCACTTCCTTTGGTAGCCCGCATCGCATCATTGGGGATTTTTCTGCATTGCATTTGGTTGCACCGCACTCTGGGATTTTGGGATGGGCTCTTTGCAAGGTGTTGTTCTAGATTGCACGATCTGTCCAGTTTGGCATGATTAAATCAACAGTCACACATGAACAAACATTACAGTAGAGTAGATAGGCATAGATCTATTCGTCTACACGCGTCAAAACGAAAAACTTACAACAGGAAAGTTATGTGGAACAACGAGATAAAGCTAGTGATCAAAGTAAATTTCAAACGGACGACAGCGTGTGATGGTATTGCCGAAATTCATCTAAACTAGCACGCACACATCATAGGAACACGTTAAGTACAGTACAATTGGAGATGCACACGAGCATCGAAACAGAAAACTTACAACACAAAGTTGTGTGAAATAACGAGGTGAAGCAACTCCTCAAAGGAAATTTCAAAAGATCGATCGAGTGCGACGAATTTGACAAAAAACGTCTTTAAAAGCTCCAATATGAACACGAAACTGGACATTTACAGCGAACAAAACCACAAACCAACCGCCCAATGGCATCATAACATCGATGTGCATTTTTTCGTGTACAACTTGTCTCGAATCGAAGCATCGTTGTATAGATTAGAAGGGATCAAGAGATTAAGTGGAGGAGGTTAAGGAGGGTGAGTAAAACACACCACATGCAAAGCTAGGTAATATGAACATGTAATCGAACATCAACAGTCAACGGAACTACGAACCGATCACGGGAATGGAATCACAACATCGATGTGCATGTTTTTGTGTAGAACTTATCTCGAACTGAAGTATAGTTGTGTAAATTAGAATGGATCGGGCAAAGGAGAATAAGGGAGGTGATAGAACATACCACGTGCAACATGCGTACCAGTTTCCTTTTTGCGCTCGCTCGGGCCTAGCTGAGAGGTGTTTTCAAGTCATGTGCTATGCAGGCCCAATAGTGTTCAGAAGCAACCAAATAGGTCAAAGTGGCATCCCTAGGGCCTGGCTGAGGAGGATACAAGCAACCAAACACGTCTTTGTGCGCCAAACATCGAAACTTCTCTCGTAAGCATAACACCAAACATGTGATGCTCGTGGTTCGCAACAGGGGGAGGAGGTGCGTGTGGCGATGCGTTCAAGGATGGCTCTTGATGCAAAAGTTGTCGTGCAGCTGCTAGAGCACCAGGGCGACATGGGTGTAGGTGGCTAGGGCGTCAACAAGACGACGACACGCACGTGGACTGTGACGCCCAGAAGACTGTGTATGAGCGGTGGAGCGAGTGCGACGAAGGTCAATGCTCAAGGATTTAGACCGCACGGCCACGGGGCGATAGCGTCAGCAAGAGCGATAACAGTGACGACGATTTTCATGGTGCCATATTCACAGCGGTAAACGTGGATCGATTTGGGCAACAGTGCGGTGAGGGTAGAAGGCAGCGATGCATGGGAGGTGGAGGTGGTGAGATTGGCCCAAGTGCGGGCGACATACGAAAAAAATCAAGTGACCGACAAAGCAACATGTGAACCATTGTTTCACTTGGCGATGGCAATCACTATAATTTCGATCAAAAATAGGGGCAAATCCAATGACCAATGACATACGATTTTTTTGGAAGAAACAATTCTCCCTTTAATATTAGGTATGATTATGAATTACTCCCAAGTAGTGATCTAGACACTCTTATATTCTTTACAGAGGGAGTATATACATGAAGGAAAGGGGTAAAATGCAGCTTATTGCAGTTTAGACCAGGTATTATAAGTTTGCATCAGTTTGCTCACACCAACATCGCAATTGTATATAAAGGCTTCTAGTTAAGATGATTTCTCCAAGGGTCTCTTTGATTCTCATGAATTATAAACAAAGGAATAGAGCAGTATGTCTTTTCAATACTACTCCCTCCATCCGAAAATACTTTTCGGAGAAATGCATAAAAATAGAGGTATCTAAAACTAAAATACGTCTAGATACATTCATTCCTCCGACAAGTATTTCCGGACGGTACATAATTAGTACTCTTCGGAGAAATGCATAAAAATGAAGGTATCTAAAACTAAAATACATCTAGATACATCCATTCCTCCGACAAGTATTTCCGGACGGAGGGTGTACATAATTAGTTTGGACGATTGGTTGTGCACAAGAAAAACATAGGATCTTCATGCAAGGTTAGAGTGGATGAAAACTTTCCTATGAAAATTAATACATATGAATCCTAAGGAAAAAAAATCTATGGATATGCAAGCAAACAAACAATAAAACAAAAGACAAATAAGGTGCTTCTAAACTGAAAGATACTATGTACAACCGTGTCGAAAATGAATTTCCTGAGCTAGACAAACTTGCTCCAAAAAGAATTAACTAAACAAACACCAAATATAAGAATCAGTCGCCATCGCCAACGCCAAGCCATTTCCGGAATCCAGCAAGAATTGCACTCTTCCACAATGGACAACGACGTCAAATTGAACACCAGAACTACAAATCAGAGAAGCTGATGCCGGAGCTGCTGGTTTTCCCTTCTCAGTTGCTGCACTTCCTTG